AATACACACGTATGCAAATCCGTGAATCAAGTTGAGAGTCAACTTGGCCCACTGGCAACCAACCTGAATTGCAGCTAGTGCGTATTTGTCCTTGGGCTTCTGTGAGAAAGGGTTGCGTGTGTGTATGAGTATTGTAATTGAAATCGCATCGATACGTGAAATGAAATGTAAAGTCATCGAATCAATTGAAATGAAAATTAAATTAAATGCATACTCTCATACATTTATTCATACTCGTCTGTATATATGCCAGCGCACAGATCTCAATATATTCGTGCGCACACTCAGAGCCGCAATCGCGTTCACACACATAAACTCAATCTTAATTAAACAGAGACATGCATATTGAGTTCCTTGAAAGGAAAAAGCAATCGTTTGACTGTAAGTATAGTGTCAGGGTAGCGCGGGGATGTGGGTGGAAATATATGTGTGCCCTTACAATTTTTCTTTTCAGCTGAAAACTGTTGCAGGTTTATATGTCAAGAGAAAAACTTTATTAATGTTAATTAAAATTTTAAAGATGAAAGTTCGTTTTTAAATAAAAGGAACGAAAGAGGAACCAAAATCATAATAGTATTAGTAAAACGGGAAAAGTCGGTCAGATATTCACACAAATATGTAGATATAAAATGTAATCAATAAAGTTTAATAGACTTTATTGTATTTTAAATTATTAAAACTTTTGTATTTGCATGTATTCAGTGTAGGCTTTTTCTTTACTTAGAAATATTATTTACAAGACAGTTCGGGTAGTCAACTTGAAATATATTTAAAAATGTTGCAGCTTCTTTAGTCTTTATTGACATTTCAAGTAAAAATGACTTATGAACTATTTATATATTGTTTGAATGCTCGTCTTTGATGGGTCTGGGGATTCATATGTTAATAACGTGTACGGGACGCAACCAAAGTCAAAAGTGGTTTCAATTATGCTGTTAAATAAAATAAAATAAAATATCTGTACTGTGCATAGGGAACATTTTAGAAATAATAAAATAAAAGCGAGCACATGCTGCATATTTTAAAGGGAGGCTGGATTCAGTAAAAGTTATTTATATAAAAACCACAAAAGCTCAACCGAAATGAATTTTATTAAATTAAATTGGAAGTCTACCTTTACATATATATTATATCATTTTGTGGCATTGTCGTGCATATTGTGCGTATTTATTTAGGCAAATGAACGCAAAGACGGAACCACAAATCAAATTTGGGCAACACAAAACACTGGATAATCTAAGGCAAGCGACATTTTGGGAAGCTTTTAGCGATGCATTTTTAAATTAGCTGCTGTGAGGCGAACTCACAAGTGAAAATCTAATATTGGGGCCGCATGCTATGACTGCAAATACTCGGACTGGGGAAGGCTATCAAATCAAATAAGCCCAGCCAATCGTCGCATAAATTTATGACATATGCAAAAGTAAATGTGCCACAGTAGATTCCTGTTCTGTCCTGTCTTCATCGCAGTCAGGTAATTCCATTATGGGGCAATCGCATTACAAATGTGGACAGTATCACAACAGCAACAACAACATGGATAGAACATTTCATGGCTTGCGGAGTATATGCAAAGACCCTGTCCACTTGACAGAGTTTGGATGAAGGAAAAACTGAAACTAATTTTCCACCTTGCAGCACAATTTAAGCCAATCAACCGGCTGGTGCTTTAAACTCAAGCTGGCAAGCTTCCCTCCCAGTAAATAGATGCAGAGAATTTGCAACTGCACTTTATATATTGTAAAATTTGTATATTTGACTTTTCTTGATTTTTATTTCTATATAGTTTCTCTTCTGCTCGTCATATTTCATAAAAACAGTTTGACCTAGCCCTGAAAATTCCATTGATTTTCTGATTTTATTTTTTAGACAATTTTCGGGATGTTGTGTACATTTCCTGTGTACTCTGTACTAAAATTTCAAATGTTTTACAGAAAATTAGAAGCAGTGTTGGCAGTCAAAAAAAAAAGAAACAAAATATTTCAAACGATACGACGTTGTTGCTGCGTGAATCGTCTGGTGTGTGTGGAGCAAAAGACGAAGCTGCATTTTACATCGAACCCACGTTCACACACCCAGGCTCACACACAGGGACATAAATGTCAGTTAGGACAACAAGAAAGGAATTGGGAGCTGGGTATCTAGTAACCGGTAGCTGGAAAGGTGGAATAGGGGTTGTCAAAAGCGTCGCTCAGCTGGCACCAGTTTTGGCGTTTTCTGCAGTCACTCGACTGATTTAAAATGTTAGCGTTATTTATACACGTAGCCAGGCTATATAAACAGTGGAGGAAGCCTCCTATGCGCTTCTCACACATCCAGTCTCTGCGCAATTGTCTGTGTGAACATGTATGGATGTATATGTGTGTGTGGACCATTTTTGCACATTTTTCATCGTTTACTGTGTTGTAGCTGCAGCTCGACAGCATGGTGCAAGTGACTGACTGCGACTTGGCAGCAACAACAAAAGCAACAACTAAAACAACAACAACATCTAGAATAACATATACTGTGCATCTGCGCCTTTTGGGCGCAACTTTGGACCCACCCACACGCTAGCCCACCCGCCGCGCGCTGTCAAAAGAGATTTTTTCAAATTAACTTTTCATATATTTCTGTATGTTTAAATTTGAGCTCAACCTTTTTGTCAGTTTGCAGCAACACATCATATACAAATATGTGCACACATATATATCCATAAATTTATATATAAATGTATATGTAACCGCTTTACATACTTTACTAAATGTGCGCATGTAGTGTTGGCTTCACAGCATGGTCTTCAATTTGTTATTTTCTTTGGTAAAGCCTTCTGGCGCCTGAATGGATGTGTCATAAACGTTTCAGCTGTAAAAAAAAATCAACAATAAAAATTATAAATTTTCAAATATATATAAACAAGAATACTCAAGAAGAAAGAGCTCGACGATATTATATCCTGTACCTAGACTATATATCAATATATACAAAACATATAATAATCTATTAGATATTAATTATAGGGTATTCTACAAATTTATTTACTTAATTTGATTTTATCTGCCTCTCTTGCCTCTTTGTCTTGTACCACAACTGTATAAAGAAAACGTGAGCAACGAATCTTGAACTTGGCATTGGTAGGGTTCAAAAAATCCATATCTTCTTTGATTTCACGCGGCATATTGAATTTTTTGTCAACAAATTTCATATTTCAACTAATACTTTAGAGGCCAGTATTAAAAGGGAACAAATATGGAACGCATCACGATTTTTCGTGTCATCCTTGCGCAGGGACCATGCTTATCTTCTCTGTATCGTTCCAATTTTAGTATAAGTCCTGCCGAAGCGAGAACATATGTATATGTAAATAGGATCATGAATATCTACCTCTCACTCCCCACCATCCACTGAAACTACTCTACTTCCTTATACACTTCACAACGGAATTGTAAAACTACAGGTTATTAGAGAAAAAATATCGAAACGTGCTCTAAAAACACATTTTTGCATATGGTTGGGTATCCTTTGGTGCTCAGTGGAAAACATGAAGGAAAAACTAAACTAAAGCTGACATTTGTGCGTTGCGAAAAGTCAACATTGTGTTTGTATTTTTCTTTTTATACCCTAAACCCATTAAAAATGAAAAAAGGGTACTATAGTTTTGTGCAATTTTATGTAAAAGGCAGAAGAGAACATATGCGGCCACATAAGATTTATATAATCTTGGTCAGCATCAATAACTGAGTCGATCTAGCAATGTTCGCCTGTCGTTGTCTGTCCGTCCGTTCCTACTTCTGTCCGTAATTATAAATGCGTCCATCTCAGACCCTATAAGAGCTAAAGACTTTAAATTTCATACGTAGAGCATCCTAGTACTCGTGCAGCGTGAAACTATTTCCGATAAGCGATAACTTTCCTGTTTCTAAGGAATCGATTAAAATCGTTTAAGCAAATCTTTTAGGTCTTACGAGCAAAAGTTGGCAATTTTGGTATGCAGCTTTTAGAAAAGTATATACAGATCGAGAATCTTTCATTTAATATCTACTGCTACATCTCTGCCTCCACCCACTTCATACAATTCAAATAAATAAATCGATTGGATTTACCCACCAATTTAAGCCACATTTTAAGAACCACAGAATTTTTTTAAGAAATTGCGTGATCATATTAGCGGGACACTTGGCTGCAAGCGCGTAACGCACAAATAACACATGTGCACACATGCAAATTCTATAAGCCGAATTGCATGGGCGATTGTATTATATGCGGTGCTCTGTGGTTGTGTTGCTATTTTTATTCAGTTTTTTTGTTGTTAAAATTCAACAAAAGCTCTTAGTTAGGGGGGTTTTTATTAAATTAAATTTTATGAATTCTAAAGAAATTAATGTTGGTTGAAGAAAGCTCAGGGTATCTTCCAAACGGGCACTCCCGAAAAGAGCACTGTTACTTCTTTTTATTTAGATTGCTAGTGTTGGTGTTTTTGTTGATATCCCGCATGCATTTTTAAAGGGCTTAACAAAACTTCTGTCATAAATATTTGATATTGTGCTCCGCATGGGGCAAAAGTTTGGACCGTAGATGCCTTGGGTGTTTCCTCGAAATTGGTAACTTATAGCGAATTAGGAGAATTTATATACTCTAGAAAAGCTATGCTATAAGACATGCCTACCAACAATCTTTGCATCTGAATACTGGGAACTGAAACTTAACCGTCAACTGAGGCACCTTTAAAGAATGTTAGATTTATTTCGAACGCGTATAGCAACAAAAAAATATAAATAAATAAATATAACTTATTAATTAGCAACTGATGTTATGCACATAATTATAATTAAAATGTATTCATAGTGTGCAGAAATAATAAGTAGTTATTAAATTGATTACTTGCCAATTTTTGTTGTCTCATCTTTGTTTTTGATATTGATGAATGCTGGCCAAATGACAAAAAAAGAATGACTTGGCTCAAACTTAGGCATCCCATCACATTATCCGTGCCAACAAATCAAACAAAATATAAAATTAACACTTTCTATTCATAAACAATTTTTCTTCAAATTTCAAGAATGTACTCCGTGTAAGTAGCTACTATGCCGAGTTGACACAAATTGTCACTGGGTAACCAAAATTTATTTCAGATACCGCAACTTTAGTCAACTGCAACGAGGTGCTCATCTTGCTCACATAACCCTGTTGTGTAACCACCGCACCATTGTCAAGCCCCTAATACTCCAAACTGTCCACTTCTCAAAGTCTAAAAGCAGCGATGGTAAGAGATAAAATAACTTTACGGAAGAGAATTTCCGATGACAAAAACCTCTTTGTAGGTGAGGAAGCTTTAGGAAATGATGGCAAAAAACTAGCTGACGGTAAAAAGCCTCCACTGAAGAAAAAGGGACCCTTCGGTCCGCCTAAAATCGAAATGAGGATCATACCCGCTTCATATCATAATCTGAGCTATGAAGAGCTCAATAAAAAACTAGGTCGCGCGATGTCGCCACATCTGAGTATCTATAAGAAACAGTTGACCTCAGTGATGTCCATATTTCTGCGTATAAGCGGATTTATTCTGGGCATAGGAATATGGACGATTGGTGTGACTGGCTTGCTTTGCGATATAGATGTCAATGCCATGGCAGAGAAGATCGAGAAATGTGATTGCAGTAGGACCGTCTTCAATGTGCTCAAGCTTTTTATAATATTACCTTTTGCCTATCATATGGTGGCGGGAACACGGCACTTGATCTGGCATCTGAATGTTTTCCTTAGCAAACGAGAGATTTATGCAACCGGGTATGTGGCCATCGTTCTGACCCTGATTTTGGCAGCGGTTTTAGCCGGCATCGATGTTCAGGGCAAAAATAATGAGCTATCTAAGGTCTCAAATGATGGCGAAATCACGTTGGAGTTGAAAACCCTGCTCAACGAGGAGACCGAAGAAATCGATGAACACAAGGTAGACAATGACATGACCGAAGCTAATGCAGAAGAGGAGTAAAATTATATGCTCATGAAGAAAACGTTGACTTCTACCAAACCATCAGAAAGTGACGCGATGCCACATAACAGTTAAATGTAATTTTTAAAATTGACACGGTAAATTCCAATTTAGACATTCATATTTTTGCTTGTGGAAAATTATTAGTATTTACCCATTTAGAAGTCGCATCCATTTACATTAAAAGAAATAAGTTTTTTTTATAATACAACGCTTGCCTTAATTTTTGGGAATAAAATAGAGCAAGCAACTGCCTGTGTTATTTCTCAACATTAAGTAAATTGCTTATATGTTATCCTGAAAGATTTAGCTTCGTTGGGTAGTGCTCTGTCGGAAAATAGACAAAACTAATCACAGTTCAGCTGAAGAAGCATTAAATTGCAGAAATTTAAATCGCCATCTGCTACTGAGCACGTCATCAAAGGAAACTTTAAACTTAGTGCAAGTATAAAAATCTTTTAATTGAATGAAACAATCACAAAAATGCGTTTGATAACATTAGACACTGAAATGTTGAATAGCATTTGTAGCTGCATAATCTACGGTTCATTGGGCCTGAACATTAAAGAGCCCGGAATTCGTGAGGGGATTGGCGAGGGGGAAAGCCATTAAGTTTATTAAGAAGCTTTAATTAGTTTATACAGGTCTGCCCACGAACGAAAATAAGAACGTGTCTACATTTCATTAATTACCGAGCTGTCAGGGCAACCAGCGACCACTTTAAGACACTTCTTACCTTCTGATGGCCCCTCCAGGCACAAACAACAACAATAAAGCCAGACAATGGGATCGGAATGGGGCCTGGGGCCTGGAGGTACTCAAATTGAGAGCCGACGGTTTTGATTGAACAGTCGCTACTTAAGTTTTGACGTTAATCTTTGTTTAGAGAGAGCGAGAGAGAGAGTGAGACGGGTGGGGGAGGGGCATCAGTTTTGCTGACACTTCATTATGCGTTTTTAATATGAATATATATGTATACAGAGTACAACAATGCCGCCCAGTCGATAAAATCTCATTTCGCTGCGAAACGTTTGATCTTAATTAGTGTACTTGAATGTTCGCTCATTCAATCGAGTGTCGGCTTTGCATCAGCATCAGCATCAGCGAAAATAACAAAATGTCGCAAATTACCAAGGGGCTTTCGCTGTAGGGAGGTGGTAGTGGGTGATTTCTTCTTCTCGCTTGATTGGCAGTTTCGCCCCTTGCTCTTGCTCTTATTTTCTACGCTTCTGCCGCTTTTTGCCTAAGCGGATTTCATTCGCATATTAATTGAAGTTTACACAGCGACAAAAGAAAGCGGCTGTGGGGCTAATTAAATAGAGTTCACTCTGTTTATGTAACACAAAAATTCGCCACAGTGTAGCAAATGTCAGGAAGCAGCCCCGTCAAATTGTCAAACACGCGCCAAACTTTAGAGTGTGGCAAATATTTTTCAATTAAAATGGCTGCTCAGCTATTTGCTCAGCGCTTTGGTGGCTTGCATTAAAATTTAGTGGTGTCATAGTTGAGCCCCTCGTACCGAGTAGCGTTCGAAATTACCATGATGAGCATTTGTAGAGACATTACACCGTTCTACCCCGTAGGTAATCAAGGTGATGTCAAAAAAAATTTAATTTAAATTAAAACGAGAAAGAATGGCTATCTTCGGCACGCCGAAGATTTAATACCCTTGCTTTTCATTAAGCTCACAATGATTTGCCCGTATCTAACAAGCGCAGGGAAAATAGTTAGCGCCGAGTATGGTTAATATATCTTGAAAAACAAAGAAGTTTTCCATACAATACCTTAGTTTTCGACCGATCGTTCCTATGGCAGCTGCATGATATAGTGGTTTGATCTTAATAGGATTTGGATATATTTGGGGAGCATTGTGAAACTAATATGGTCAAACGGACTCGACTCGGCTATTGATACTGATCAAGAATATATATACTTTATGGGATCGGAGATGTCACCTTGTATGCGTTACACATTTCATGACAAAATTTTAATAGCCTCTGCAAGGGTATACAAAATTGATTCAATAGACGAGAAAGTCAGATAAGGGCGCATTTTAAAGCAATTATATTCTTTTTACAAAAATGAATAAGTAATATACATAAATAATATCGTATTAATAGGAATTTGATGTTTTCCTATAAATATTTTGAAAGATAAGTTCTCCATTTGAGTATTCGATAAGAAATTAATATACCGAGTAAGTGAAACCAAATCGAAAACAAATTATAGTCCGATGTTCAGAAAGCTTATGAGTCAGCTACTTAGACAGTTGTAAACTAATAAATTCTTAAATTACTCTTATCATATGTTGCACATTTTCGCCGAACTAGAAAGCATATTTTCAATGTAATCAAATTTGCTCTTAAACTTTTGTGGCTTATAATTTGCTAGACACTAATTAAATAAGCCTTTAGCAGTTGAGCGCACCGATTTTAGACCAACAAATAAAATTAAACACGGCACGTAATGCACTGAAAATGCTACGTTAATCTACTTGCAGCAAAACACTGCGATTCGTTCGGCTTAATTACTTTAAACTTTACAAACACCTTTATTTATGTGTGTGTGTTTGTTATTGCAGGTACACCTTTAATTTTCCTGAACTCGAGGCAAAATAGACGCTTAACTTTTTGAGTACCTACCAAGCACTGCAGAAATACAAAGCGAAACTAAACCAAACCAAGCGGGTCTTCTGGCAGCTGTCGATAATTAGCTACAAAAGTTTTAACTTGGCTATTAACACGAATCTTCTGCATAATGGGCCTGTCTGGCATAGATTTTGTTCTATGGCCTTTTGGCCCGGGCATGTGGCGCATTAAGTCAAATGCTTGGGCAATAAGGCACTGTCTTGGCTTTGCCCAAAACTTTTGCACCTCCCACTCGAACTTGATGGGCTGTGGCAACAGGAGCAACACTCTCAGCACTGGCACAACAATTGCCGCACACTTGACTGGCGCAGAATGTTTCATAATTAAAGGCGAAAAAAAACGAAATTTCTAAAGAGTAGCCTTGAACTCATTCCGTGGTTGTGGCTGTGCCTGTGGCTGTCCCTGTGGCTATGCCTGCGGCTGCGTTGCGTGTGGCGGATGGCAGCATGGCCAACTTGCAGCCACAATTGTTGCACGCACAGCCCCAGTCAAGTGGAAAAATAGTTGGGGGCGTGGCTTCTATATATTTGCTCAGTATGTCCCTGCACACAATTTTATTTTATATTTTTGCCTTCAACTCCCGTGGGCTCGTTCCAGTTTTGCATGGCCTCTAATTACCTTTTGGTTGGCGTGCAAGTACAACTTTTTACTGTGATAATTTCTTAATACTGAACTCACTTGATTGCACTTCTGTAGGGCCAGCTGCCTAGAGCCAAGCAATTTGTGAACTTGACTATGGCGCACATCGAGGAGTTTCATTAGCCAACTGATTTAGAATTGATAGCAGAAATTTCATATGATTTGGAAAGTTTTTAATAGAATAGACTGAATAAATCTATTTGGAAAAGATGTCACTAGTAATTAAAAGGAAATTGTGATAAGGTACAACCTAATGAAAATTTAACTGATATTCGTTCGGAATTGACTCTTAATATTGAATTGGGCTCATCACATATAAAACTTTTACCCTTACCTTTATTACTTGAAAACAAATTTTTAAATCTTAATCTAAATTACCCAAAACAAACTAAATACTTATGTCTAAATGATCATAAAGACAAATGCGAACTTTTCTTTTTTCGGCATATCAAATAAGTTGATTGGTAATAAATATACATTATGTTAGGATAAATATCTGCTGCAGTTACCAGAACAGTTGCTTTTACATTAAATGTATTTCCCAAGTTCCATAGAGTCTTGTGAATGTGACAATGGCTCTGACTTTTAAATTACCAATTTTCTGTAAATTCTTTTTAAGAATCGAGGGAAAATGCTACATTCGTTTAAAGCTTTGCCAATTCGTCGGAGTACTGAATTGGGCCACTTTGGTCATGGTAGCAGTCTGAGCTCTCCACATGTCAATTGAACTGCTACAGACATAAATCAATAGTTCTCGAATGGCAACGCCAGCTATAAAACCACAACATGTCAGCCTTAAAAATGAGCTGTTGCAGCTGCTTCCGCTGCCCATCAAGTATCCGTTCCGTCAGCAGGCTCAAATAAGCCCGGGTTGGCAAAGTAAGTAATTGCATTAAGGCCAGAAATATTGAAGGTAGTTAAACTGCTAGACCCGGCGGCCGGTTGCCGCTGTTGTGCCTAATTGAATTTTTCAGCACCTCGCCCATTTATTAATCCGATTTCAATCGACTTGCAAGTCCCAGGTGTAGCCTTGCATTTCCCACTAAATTAATGACATTCATTAGCTGTATTTAGATTGCCACTACTATGAGAAACGTAAATGAAAATGAACACAACGCATTTTAACGGCACTCAGCGACATTTGCAAGGGCTGTCAGTATTCGGCCCACAATAAACGATCATTTAGATTGCGCGTTTTAACTGCTTAGAAAAGATTGAAAAACAAAACCTTAACATATATTATAAAACAGTTATTTATGTAAATGACGCTTATTCAAAAAACTAAGAATAGAATATGCACATATTTACTAACTTAAATTAAAATACAAATTTAAGGACATTTTTTTCCGCCTTCACTGGGCTGCGATTCCCATACTCAGTATACCCTTTACCCCTATTAAACTTTTATTTTAGTTTTTTTTATGTAAATTGCTATTGATATTTTTCACGTTTGAGTGAAATATATTAATTAATTGTTTTAATTAATTGTTTTGTTCCTTCAAGCCTAACCAAAACAGTTACAAATATATCCGGAACACACACTGACCGTCTTGTTAACTTTCAGCTAGTTTGTTTCCTTTTATGTCTATGTCAAAATTAGTTAGACAAAGTCTAAACGAATAGTTTCAGTCAAGATTTATCCACTGTAAACTGTTAAACTAATGAAAGAATTTCAATGAAATTCCCATATTCCCCTCTTTGTGCCACGCCCATTGTACCGTGACTATAAATTGGGTCAAATTTTTGGGCTTGGATTTTTTGGGGCCGCCTTCCTTTTAATTAGCATGTTTATTTGACTTTGACTGTACGAGTGAGAGCGCAAAGTTGGCGCCATTGAGAGGCGCAGTGCCCCAGGCGCACAGGGCGTATGTGTAATTTCTGTTTAGTGTATGATTGTGTTGTAC